CATGGACAGAGTAGATGGGGTGCCTGGGATGAGAGTGGGTGGGGTGGGATGATGTGGGAATAAGAGGGAGGCTGGTGGTGGTGGTGGTGGTGGTGGGATTGGGTCTGGGGACCGGGAGCCCAGCTTCAGAAGGGCCAGGGAAGGATTAGAAGGGCATAAGGTTTGAGAGGTGTGGGCAGAGGAGCCAAGAGTGGGCGAAGGAAAGAGGGTTTGGGATTTTTTTCCTGTAGAAATTGGATTTTTAGCTAAGAAGCTCTAAAGTTAGCAGGTAGGAAAATGAAACTTTAAGTCTCAAGATGTGGGCGAGATTGGCGTGTTCCTGGAGAAAACGAGGGAGCAGGGGGGTATGGTACAGCCCTCAGGAGCTTGAGAGAGGAAAAGGTATGGGTGAGAAGGCAGGTAGGAAAATGCACGCTACAGGGGAAAAGGATAGAGAGAGGAACTGAAAATTGGAAAATGGTGGCTGACACAGAACAATGGAGGTAAGATTGTTAGTTGCTTATTCATGGGTTGGAACTAGTTTCTGTTCAGGTTTTTAGGTTGGAAATGTTCTCAGGAATTCTTCATTTTCAAGTGAACCAAGGGTGTCTGCAGCCTTAAGATGAAGGCCATGAGTAGACAGATATTTTTCTGGTGTGTGGATGTGGGTAATTTCTGCCCTGGCAGAAGGAAGAAGAGAGGCCTCAATGTAGCTCTCTGTCCTGGCTCTGTTCCCACCAACTCTTTCCTCAAATGTCCACTGTTGTTTTTGTGTGTGTGTGTGTGTGTGTGTGTGTGTGTGTGTGTGTGTTTAAGTCTCCTCCCAGTCCTTCCATCCTCCCAGCTTGAGCCAGTGAATACCAGAGGAATCAAACAGGTGGGTGAGATTAATTTTTTACATATTTTTTAATCCTTCAGGCTTATGTCATACTTTTATTTTTTAAAAATATATTTTATTGATTTATTGCAGAGAGGAAGGGAGAGGGATAGAGAGCTAGAAACATCGATGAGAGAGAAATATCGACCAGCTGTCTCCAGCACACCCCCTACAGGGGATATGCCCGCAACCAAGGTACATGCCCCTGACTGGAATCGAACCTGGGACCTTTCAGTCCGCAGGCCAACGCTCTATCCACTGAGCCAAACCGATTTTGGCATACTTTTATTCTTGAAAGACAGCATCATGCAGTGGAAAGAGCTTGAATTTTGGAGTATCACAGCCTTGAGGTTTGATGCTGGCTTGTCACTTACTAGATATGTACTTCTCTGAGCCTCTTCATCTGTTAAATGGCAATCTTGACCTAATAAGATTGTTGAAGATTCCATGTGATCATTTAATATAGTACCTAGCACAGTGCTTGACAACTGGTAGATCTTTAATAAATGGTAGCTATCATACCTACTGTCATTATGATGGGGATTATTAACTTACTTTACCCACTGAAGTTAGGTGTTTTCTTCTCTTTCTCTTCAAATTAGATATCCATAGACTCAGATCACAATTTTAATCCTGTTGCTTTCCTCTCCCCCTTCCAAACTCCAATTTGTCATGAGAATAAGGCATTTCTGCTTGGTAAACTGGCATCAAGTTCTAAAAAGCTATCATGTTTAGTTATCATTTCTTTTATTTTGCCTCTTATTCAAAGAGGCTGCAGAGAACAGAGTTATTAATGTAGTAAGATTATATTTTACTCGTTGGATGAAATTATATGCTGCATGGTATTGGTTCATTTATGGTGGCCAAATGCTACAACATGCATTATTGTGATATTCTTCTACAATGTTGTTACCATACCAAACTGCCTCTCTGTAGAAAGCTGGGAAACTATTAGAATGCCCGTTACTCTGTTGATCTAACATAAAAGATAGCTAATTGCAGATCTACAGTGGACATGGTTATCCTTAGAGATACTGATTATTTTAATTTTCCAGTTTCTATGGGTTTTTGCCATGGTTTGTCCCCAGAGAAGACCCATTCATAATAGACCACGCTGAACAATAGCCAGGTGGAAGAAAAAACCAAGTACAGAAGCTTTGTGTGAAGTTCTCTCGCCTTTATTATCTTGAAAGGTTTGAATACAAAGGTTGAATACAAAAATTTTTAGATAATTTTGTAGTACCTCACAGATTCTCAGGAAGCTCCTTATTGGGAGAATGCAAGGTCCACAGATTCAGTAGTAGAAATCAAAGCTCAGCAGGATGCCCTGCACCAAGATGAGTTCCTCAAGTAGCATTGTGGAAGAGTAGAGAGGACTTGGAGTTTCTGGACAGATGATAATGGGTTTACTCTTTAGGAAATTTTGGATCTCTTTTCATTATTTAGGAAGACAACTAGCACTTGATGAGTATTTTAAGGCTAAAATATAGCCATAACTATGCCCTTTTTTGAAAATGATCTCTGGAAGCAGAAGTTGCCAGGATTTGGGGCAGCCTGAGTTATCATCCTTACTCCTGTCCCAAGCTGCTGTGCCCCCTGCTGGATAGAATCAGACTTTTTGATTTTCACCCAAAGTACTCCTCCATTTTTCCATTTTACTCTAAAGTTTGTGGAAAGCAGACTTTTGGGGGTGAGACTATGGATAATACAGATGGGCAGATTCTGTTTCTTTGTCAAGGAGCTTATAGTGTGCTGAGCCATTATAATATATTATCTTCCATTGAATTTGCCTTTCTATGAAAATAAAATCATTTCTTTTTAGGACTGTACCTGCTGTCTACTTTTGGATCTACAGATAGGGTAGGACTCTGAGTGTCTAATCATAGAGATTAAGAGCAGCAGGGGGCACAGCAGCTTGGGACAGGAGTAAGGATGTTAACCCAGGCTGCCCCAAGTCCTGGCAACTTCTGCTTCCAGAGACCAAGTTTGCTTTACTTCCTCAAGATTGAAGTCTGTGAGGTTGAAGGGGCCAGATTCATTTACTTCTACTGGAAGAACTTAGAATAAGTGAGGCATCTCCTTAGTAGCAGGCTGAACACCAGCAAGACTGAGTTATAAGAGCCTGCACTGTTATAGGAGGTTTTTTCTTTTCTGGTTTGTAGATCCCCCTTCTTCCCCTGCCTCTCTCCCCCTTATCCCCCCCATTACCAGTAGCAATATACTCCCATCATTTGCTTTGCTTTTACCACCTGCAGGAGGGTCTGGCAAGTGGGGGAGGAGCTGCAGCTGTTGCCTGGAAGAGGGGATGGCTCCTAGCAACAGTATCAGCAGGCCCTGCAGTCAGAACACTAAGCTTGTCTCTTTGAGGTCTCACTCTTCATCTCAGCAAATATCTGTTCTGTTGAGAGCTTACTCAGCACTAGACGCTATGTTAGGCTTGGGAACGAAAAACAAATCAAATAAGTGCCTTGCCTTCAGAGAGCTCACAACTCTTGGAACATTAGTAAGAGAAGAGACCGAATACATGGTGCTAAGTGTTATGTAGAAGGAGCCAATGGTGCTTTGGAGAAACCAGACAGGCGTGCACTGGTACAGGGGTGAGGGAAGGTTTCCCAGGAGAGGGATGGTGGTGGAAATGACGAGTAGGAATTAGCTAAGTCAGAGAAGCAGAGAAGGTGTTCCAGCCAAAGGGAGCCAAATGGGCAAAGGCCAGTGGAAAAAGAGCCCAGCCATTTACCTGGTGGTGGTATTGCTTGGTCAGAGTAGAGCATAAGGAAAAGGGCGAGGCTCTTAGCCTAAGCAAGGCCCTCTTTTCTGATGTGTTTTACACACATAATTATCCTTGGGAGAAACATGGAATGTACTGATGCCCACAAACAGGATCAACTGTTTGATCTTCAGAGAGTCAGCATTTTTGATCACTGACTTGTTTGCTGACACTTTTAAGTGTCATCATAGCTACATCCGAGCCCCACATTGATGCAGAAAAAGCTGGGTCGGTTCACTTTAAAACTCACTGAAAGTCTTTCAGAGATAATAGCAGCTTTTTAAATTTCATGTACTGGGCCTCTAGTCGTTGTAGAAATGATAATCAAATACTTTCCTTTAACATAGCATTTCTTGTGTATTTAGAAATCTCAGAGTTCCTCAGGAAAACATTTATTCCAGTTAGCACTTCCATACAAAATGTAATCATATGATCACATAAATACCCACCTGTTTTTAATATTTCACCTTACCTCAAAAATGCCCTAAAAGTGTCTTAATATAAGTGATGCTTCCAAGGGCTAGAATAGCTTTTATTTAGCTCTTGAGATGGAGGTCTTTATTTGTAAATCCAATACAAACCCTATTGCTTGTGGTCTGTGTAAGGTTTAGCAAATGAATAAACTGCAGTTCTGCAAATATCTGCTCAGGGCCTGTGATATGCCAGAGCACTTTGTTAGGCAGTCTGGCCAAATTAAACATGGTCCCTCCTCTCAGCCGAACACAGACCCAGAAACAAATCACTGAGCCAAGTACAACAGAGAAATGTGAGGAAGGTACCATAGTAGCAAGGCAATTTTCATTTCTAGTCTTTGTTATAAACTATATATATATATATATATATATATATATATATAGTTAAAAAAATAGAAATAATAAATTCCAAATGTACTATTTGTAACTTGCAAATCAATAAAAATTTTATAATTGTAATGACTGCATAGCATTTCATGATATGGATGTATCATAATTCATTTAATAACACTCCTGTTTTGGGACATTTAGGTTATTTACTATTGTTTTGTTAATATCAACTTTGTAGATGATCCTGTGCCCACTTCTGCATTAAACTTCCTTAGGGTAAATTTTTAAAATGACATACTGGTATGAACTGGATTCTGAAAGATGAATGGGAGATCACCCACAAGAAAAGGGGGAGGGTAGGAAAGGGCATTCCGGGTAGAGGCAATAGAAGCAGTATCCAGTGCCAAAGTTCATAGGCAACTGCTAAGCTTCATTTTCCCAAACCAGCCACAGGGCCTGCCTGGTAGGCTCATAAAAAACTCTGGGCACAGCAAGATGAAGTTACATGTTACAGATGTCATTTTAATTAGATTTGCTTCCCTTGTGCCTTGTTTTTACAGTTGCAAGCAAGGCAATGTCTTACTACCTCAACTCAGAAAACCACCTGGACCCAGGGCCCATCTATGTGCGAGAGAATGGGCAGCTGCACATGGTCAATCTGGCGTTGGACGGCGTCAGGAGCAGCCTGCAGAAGCCAAGGCCTTTCAGACTGTTCCCCAAAGGCTTTTCTGTGGAGCTGTGCATGAACAGAGAAGATGATACTGCACAGAAAGAGAAGACTGACCATTTCATCTTCACATACACTCGAGAGGGGAACCTTCGGTACTCTGCCAAGTCCCTCTTCAGCCTGGTCCTGGGCTTCATCTCCGACAATGTCGATCACATTGATTCCCTTATTGGCTTTCCTGAGCAGATTGCTGAAAAGTTGTTCTCTGCTGCTGAAGCCAGACAGAAATTCACAGAGCCGGGTGCAGGGCTGAGAGCTTTACAGAAATTCACAGAGGCTTATGGAAGTCTGGTGCTTTGCTCCCTGTGTTTGCGAAACAGGTGGGTATTCTGATTAGGATATTGAATATTTTATTGGGTATGTTAATTGTGTCAAGCTCCGGGGCTTTAGTAGGCTTGGAGGCTTCCCCCTAAAACTTTAGTTTAGAACTTCCAGACAAAGAGGTGCACCATTTTGAGAAAAATCACTTGTCTGTCTTCCAACCTCACTCTCACAGGCAATGCTCAGCTTTATTCTGAAAACACTTTGTAAGGATGAGTTGGTTGCCACAGCTCCATTAGGTAGAAAATACTCTTCTACCAACTTTTCTCCTAAGAGAAAATAGCAAAGACAAGAGGTGATCTGTCCCTTGCTATTCTTTGGGGATGTGAAAATTAGTAAGCAGAGTTCTCAGCCCTTTTCCAGTTTTCAGATTATTAGGTTTTGAGCATTAGATAAAAAGCCAACTTTAGCCGAAACCGGTTTGGCTCAGTGGTAGAGCGTCGGTCTGCGGACTGAAGGAAGGGTCCCAGGTTCGATTCCGGGCAAGGGCATGTACATTGGTTGCGGGTACATCTCCGGTAGGGGGTGTACAGGAGGCAGCTGGTCGATGTTTCTCTCTCATCGACGTTTCTAGCTCTCTATCTCTCTTCCTTCCTCTCTGTAAAATAACAATAAAATATATTTAAAAAAAAAAGAAACTTTAAAAGAACAGTGATTAAAATTTCAAGTATCGCCCTAGTTGGTTTGGCTCAGTAGATAGAGCATCGGCCTTCAGAATGAAAGGTCCCAGGTTCGACTCTGGCCAAGGGCATATGCCCGGGTTTGGGGTTCTATCCCCAGGTGGGGGTGTGCAGGAGGCAGCCAATAAATGATTCCATCATTGATGTTGCTATCTCTCCCTTCCTCTCTGAAATCAATAAAAGGAATATATATTTTTTTAAAATTTCAAGTATCCTAAAATTTGAATATTTTCAAATAAGGTCCAAACACTAATACAAAGGACTGTCTTTCCTAACAAAGCAGATATATTTTCTTTTAACTTGCCTTTGCTCATATACACTTGTTATTTAAAGTTTTTATTCTACCGTCATGTAAAATGACTTTCAAAGCATCTACAAATTTTTAAAAAATGTACACCAGAAAACAATTTAAAACAAACACAAAAAGTAGAAAGGCAAACATAAGTCTTCCTCTCATTTCCAATTTCCTTTTTCCAGAGGCAACTACTATTATCCATTTCTTTTATATCGTTCTAGAGACATTTTATACATATACATGCATATACAGTTCCCTTTGTCATACAAATGGCAACACGCTGCTTACAGTGTGCACCTTGCTTCACATATTTTGAAAATCATTTACCATCAAGATTTTTAAAATAGCTATATAGTATACCACTATATGAATTTTTTGTGATAATGTGAAAGGCAGCTTACTGTTAAGATGCATAGTCAATATGATCATTAAGACCCTGGCTGGGTAGCTCAGTTGGCTAGAGTATTATCCCAATACACCAAGTTGTGAGTTTGATCCCTAGTCAGGGGCGCATACAAGAATCAACCAATGAATACATAAATAAGTGCAAAAATGCAGCAACAAATTGATATCTCTCTCTCTCTCTCCTCCTCCTCCTCCCCTCCCTCTACCCCCCTTCCCTTTCCCTCTCCATCTCCCTCTCCCTCTCTTCCCCCTCTTTCCTCCTCTCTCCCCCTCCCTTCCTCTCTCTCTCTCAATTTAAAAATATATATGATCATTAAAACAAGGCTAAACAGAAAGTGTGTAATAAAAGAGAAAGTCATTCCAGAAAGCATAAGGTTAGCTCATATTGCTTGGGAAAATAAAAAAGCAATCTTTATTTAATCAGCTCATAGAATTAATATTTTTACCCCAGACCAAATATTGTATTTTAAAAAGATATAAACAGATGCAGAAAAAACACACACAGAACTGTGGACTCATGAGGTACAGACACCTTATGAAAGCTCTGTCTTTGTGCTGTGGTCTCAGACATGGCTGAGCCTGGGGCTGCTGCCAGTGGAAAGGAAAAAATTACCTTCTCTAAATAAAAAAGTCAGGCAGTATTTCATTGCAGCTCATACATTTGAAATACATTTACTTATTTTTTTATTCCAAGTTATTTATTGTAGAAAATTTTGAACAATGAAAAATAGAATTATGATGTATACCTCATTTAAAAATTATAAAGGCAATACATACTATTTGTGAAATACATTAAACTATAATATTAAAAAATTAATAGTCTCACCATTCATGGTAAACACTTTCAAATATATATCTTTATACATTTTGGAATATACCCTAATCTACAACTTGTATTCTGTTTTTTCCCCTCTACTTACCATTATGGCTTAAGTATTTTTCATGATAATGAAAATGCTTTTTATCCATTTGTGATATCTGCATCTGTTCCAGTGGTCAGATTGGATGAGAATAGTACTTTTATTCATGTTTAATGAGAGCATAAATTAGTGTAACATTCTGAAAAGCAGTTTAGCAATATGTATCAAGAGCCTTAAAAAACAACCATAACATTTGCTAGCCCATTAATTCCATTCACTAAGAATCTGTTCTAATTTCTAATATAATAATTGCATATAGGAACAAATGTTTTTACGTAAGAGTATTCATTATAGTAGTAGTAGTAATAGTGAAACCTGAAAGTTGACTGTTCAACAATAGGAAATTAGTTAAGCAAATTATGGTACATTCATATGATTTGTAACTATTAAGATAATATTCAAAGAGCATTTAAAATTACGTGGTGAAATGCTCATTATATACTAAATGAAAAAATAAGAGTTAAAGTTATATTTATGATTTCAGTTTTCTTTTTTAAAATAAGCATTTTTATATGTAATGCATATATAGAAAGATAAATCCACTGAAATATAGTGGGATTGAAACTGGGTTTTAATTTTCTTTCTTTCTGTTCTTTATTGATTAAGGTATTACATATGTGTCATTATTTCCCCATTGCCCCCACCTCCCCGCTCATGCCCTCAGCCCCCCTAATGTTTAATTTTCTTTATAATTTTTACATATTTTCTTAATTTTTTTCTCCGAGGATGTGCTATTTTTATAACCAGAAAAATATAAGAAACATTTTTAACAATCTTTTGGCTCAGATTTTAATGTAACAATTCCAAACTTTGCTGTCCTATTCAGATATAAGAGTAAGTTTTCCAACTGTGATAAAAAAACAAACTTCCCTTCTCCTTTTGAATTTACCCCCTCCCCCGCCCCCCCCCCCCCCCAAAAAAAGGTCTTACCAGCACAAAGGGTTCAAGTTAAAGGAAAAGAGCTTGGAAAATAATTGAAAATAAGATAATTGTGTAGGTGCAGGGGCTTGCTGTCTTGGGATTGAGTGACAAAGCTGCTTGCCAGAAGGAGAAGCCAGTGTCTTTGCAACTGGGTTCCAACTCTACAGAACTGTCCTCCCTGTGTTGAAACCCCAGTGATTTTTATTCCCACTGGTGGTCACATGGAGGCAAGCATATTTTCCTTAAAATACCACACTGTGTAACTGAAGTAAATATTAGTAGCTATCATTTAATAATGGCCTTAAAAATCCTGAAAAGAAGTAATCATCAGCCCCATTTTCTTGCTGGAGAAATTGAGTCTTAGAGAAGTTAAATAACTTTCTCGCAATCACACTAGCAATTAGGGTTGTTAGAATCCAAACTCAGGTCTGTCTGACTCTGAAATATGTCTCTGCTTGTTCTATTGCTTCTCCACTCACTGTTCTGAACTCTTTTTTTTTTTCTATAAAAACACTTTCACTGATTATTTTATTCAGAAAAACAAACAAAAGACAGAGACAAAAGCCCTGGTCCTTTGCCGTATCTATCAGCTTTCAATTTGGCTCTCCTGCCCAGGAGTGTTTCATGCAAAAATCCATCTTCCCAGGCCTTTATAAGAATTTTACTGTCTTCTTTGCTTATTTTAAGTTTCTGGTCTTGGAAGCTCTGAAATTTCTTTTTTTCGCTTATTTATTTATTTACTTACTTATTTACTTATTTATTTGTATTTTTTGAAATTTCTTCACATAATTGATTTTACACTGTTTAATATTTCTTTTGTCTTCCTCAGGGATGTCATCTTTTTCTTAGTTTCTCTTTCAGCACAGGATCTAATCATCATCATTTCTTCTCCTGCTGTTTTACTTTTTGCTTCTGTATCACCTGCTTCATTGCATCTGATAAAGTAGCTCTTTGAGGCCAATAAAGCCATTTTCCCATCTTGAAAGACTGGTTCCCATTGTTCTTTTGGTCCCATTGCATCTGAACGCCCCATTACAACTCCATCTGAATTTATGCCAAGGTATTTCCATAGCCAGATTTTAGGGCAGTTCTGGAATCAGATAATTTGACAGCTGTAAACTGCTCTGGAGGACTAGGGCCTTCATCCACTTCTTTATTTGGAGCTCCCAGTGTAAAAAGTCCATTTTCAAGTGCATGTATGTATTATAGATTCCTTTATCCATTTCAATAGCTATGGTGCCTGAAATTTCACCAAAGTTTGTTACTGTCCACTAGATTCCAACAATATCAAGTTGGGTTTCTTCATCATCTTCTCTTTTTCTCTCATCTTCTCTTTGCTCTTTTTCTTCTTACTCTCAGCCTTGGTTCCCTTGAGCATGAGTTTGGTGGACTTGACATGGGAGTATTTGGCAATGGTTCTGGTGATGCTTCTCTTTTTCACCATACTCAGTCTTAACCATACTATCCATGATCATGGTGTAGTTCTCCATTTATTCAAGCCCTCATTTACGTCTTTCAAAAATTTTATATATTTTTTCTTCATAAAATCTTGCATCCCTAGACACTAATCTTTTTTTGTTGTTCTTGTCAAGTGTTCCTAATCCTACCCCTCCTGCTCAATTTCACTCCAGTGGCTAAGGGATTGAAAAAGCCGATTGAACTATGCCCAGGAGCTTGCTAACTTTTCGTGTTCCTAACTCCTCTAATTTCTTTCTTTCTTTTTTCAAGTTTCTTTTCAGTTTTTTAAAAAATTTCAATGAAAACGATTTTAAATATAA